CATCCGAGTCAGGGTCCAGGGGTTTGTTGTACTCATCGTCCTCGGTCTCAGAGGCCGCCCGCTCTCCACCAGAGCCCCCCGCCCGCTGCGAGGATGAGGAGGGCTCCAGGGCGCTCTTCTTCCTCCATTTGGTCCGTCGGTTCTGGAACCAGACCTGCCGCCCCAGGGGCCCAGCCCAGTGAGCAGCCACCACACTGCACACCCCCTGCCCCGAAGGGACAACACTCACCTTCACCTGGGACTCAGTCATGCCAAGGGAATAGGCCAGCCGTGCTCTTTCTGGACCTGCCAGGTACTTGGTCTGCTCAAAAGTCTTCTCCAGAGCAAAGATCTGGTGCCCTGTGAAGGTCGGACGCGTGTGCTTCTTCTTGTGGATGCTGTCAGCCAGGTGAGCAGGGGCTGCAGGAGATGAGAGAAGCAGGTGAGCTCTGTGCAGCCCACGACTCTGGACAGCTCTCCTCCTGAACACAGCACCAGCCCTCAGTGCCCACAGAGTCCCCTCACACCAGCTCTCCTCCAAATTAAAACCTTATTCTGGCTTCAAGGTTTCAGCCCCATCCCAGGGGGGCTGAGCTGACGCCAGGCTGTGCAGCTCCTGCTCAAGGACAGCACGAGGGGGTTGTGCTGAGAGGGGAAGGGTCATTACCAACAGTGCGGGACTCCAGAGCCACGCAGTGCTGGAAACACCTGCCCCATGCCCCACACCTTGCAGGATGCAGGACAGAAGACAGGCAGAGCTGGTCATCAGCTCGTAGCTGTGCCAGGAGCGGATGGCCGAGCTGCCTGACCCATCTGTTCCAAAAACATCACCTGGAAAGGGTGGAATGGGACACTGGCCCAGAGCCTCCCAGGACTCCCCATGGGATCGTGGGTGTACCCATCCCACCTACCCTCTGGGACAGCAGCAACATGCTCCACAGTTCCCCTGCCAGCTCTCCAGCAGGAAAGCGGTGCTGCCAGCCCGGGGCCAGCCATCCTGCCTGTCTCTGCCCCAAGCTGGACCAGGCACCAACCCCAGTGACACTGCTGGAGCGAAGGGGGGTCAGTGAGCCAGAGTGCTCTGCCTGTCCTTGCCAGCTGTGGCTGCCTGGGGGCAAAGAGTTAATTTCTGTCATTGGAGCTGCCCTCTGCTCTGGAGCCGAAACTTCTGTGACAGTTCGAGGTCCAGCAGCTCTCCTCTCTGGGGCAGCCCGCAGGCTAACCTGGCGCAAGGTGATGGACAAGACGCAGCCCGGGCAGCCGCCCCACGTCTCTGCCCCGCTGCCGAAGGGTCCGGGCTCTGCAGGGCACCCACCCACCCCCTGCCCGGCCCCGGCCCGCTGTACTTACGGCCGCCGCACTGCCGCCCGCCCCGCCACGCCGGGGCCGCCTCGGCCCAGCAGCTCCGGCCCCGCGGCAGGTACTCCCCGCCAGCCTTGGGGAGGGCGCCCACCTGGGGCCCGTAATAGACTCCCGGGGAGCTCAGTCCGTTAAATCCGCCCGTGTGCGGGTAGCCGGGCAGGAGCCCGCTGCTGGGCGTCGCCGCGGGCCGGCCGAGGATGTCGGAGATGCCATGGGGGGTGCCCGCGGCCAGCTGGGCGCCCAGCCCGGGGGGACCCAGCTTGTAGAAGGAGCTCTGCACCGAGTACTGGCAGACGGGCGCCTTGGCCTCGGGGAAGGGGCCCAGCGAGGGGCCGTTGAGGAGGAAGGTGCCCGACAGGTTGGCGTCCATGGCTCCGGCACCGAGACGACCCTCAGAGCCCGGATCCCCGGAGGTGCGACGGCTCGCCCATTCCCTCTGGCCTGGGGGCTGCTGGGCCCCCGGGGCCCGGCCTGGCCGGGGGTGCGGGGTGGCGCGGGGACCACGCGGGGCCGGGCAGGGCCGGCAGATCGGGCAGGGCCGGCAGATCGGGCAGGGCCCGGTGCCCCCCGCGGGTCCCACCCGGACCCTCCGCTCGGGCCGGGCAGCGCCAACATTTCTGATAAAGCCGGGCTCATTAGAATAGCGCAACCCCATTGGCCGCGCGGCCGCGGGCGGCGCTCCCATTGGCTGCGCCTCGCGATTGGCCCCGCCCAGACAAATTGCGCTTTGAACGGCGGCGGGGACGGGACGGGATACTGGGATAACGGGATATCGGGATACCGGGATAACGGGATACCGGGATATCGGATACCGGGATACAGGGATACCGGGATACCGGGATAACGGGATATCGGATATCGGGATATCGGATATCGGGATATCGGGATATCGGATACCGGGATACCGGGATACCGGGATATCGGGATATCGGATATCGGGATACCGGGATATCGGGATACCGGGATACCGGGATATCGGATATGAGGATACCGGGATACCAGGATACCGGGATATCGGGATATCGGATATCGGGATATCGGGATATCGGATATCGGGATACCGGGATATCGGGATATCGGGATACCAAGATACCAGGATATCGGGATATCGGATATCGGGATATCGGGATATCGGGATATCGGGATGGGGGACGGGGATATGGGGATGCAGGGATCGGATACGGGCATGGGATGCGGGCATGGGACGGGACGGGACAGGATACAGCGATACGGGCATGGGATGGGATATCGGAACGGGACACGGGAATGGGAGAGGGAGATGCGATACAGGGACAGAGAGGGGGCTGGAGTGGTGGGCAGCGCGGACTCTGGACAGCGCCGGGCGGGCCGGGGCTCCCGCTGCCCCCAGGACACCGCCCGTGGGGTTGGGGGCGCCGGTGGCACCAACTGCGCTGCCCCTTCCCCCCCTGCATCCCCCGGAGAGGCCGCTCGGGGTGCGCCCGGTCCTGCTCCCTTCGAATCCCCCACGAATGGCAGAGTACAAACGGCTGCCCCCACCTTCCTGGAAATGGGGTGCCTGCAGAAGGGACCCCCCCCTGGATCTCCACCATCCCCCACCTTTGGAAGAGTAGGGACGAGACACAGTCTGTGTTGGTTTCTTTATTAATTCATTGTCCGATAGCTGGTGTACAGGGAAATGATCTATACATCAGGGGCTAAGACAGGGAGATCCAAAAGGCTTGTTTTCATAACAATTAAAAAAAGAAAATAAAAGTAATTTTTAAAACTCTAAAAAGCTTCTAGTGTGCAGACTGCAGCATTCTCTAGGCTCAATGTTGGGTGCAGCCTCCCCCTACCAGCCCTACAAGCAATCTGAGCGCGAAGCAATGTCACTGCAGGTGCCTGGCACGGTTCAGCACAGCACATTCCCTACGGCATACACAAGGCCAAAGCACTGGACCCACACACAACTCTATGGTGATGCTACGGAGTCAGCTGTGGCAGTGGGTCTAGGGAGGTTATTGTACGCAGCAAGGGTGATGAATGGAGAGACTGTGCCTATATGGCTCAACTTCAGGGTGGGGAAGGGGCTGCTTTGCTCTCCAAGGCTAAGCTGGGTCAGTTGCTTTGCTGCAGTGAGGCTTCTTCGTGGCTGCAGGGCAGCCGAGGGCTCTCCCAGCAGATGTGCACCCACTGCGAGGCAGGGCTGCCCTGCCAAGGCCACCATCACACGGCCTGAAGGTGGAGGTGGGTTCGATCTGCACGTGGCCACAGAGAGCAAAAGACTCTGCAAAGCAGGTCCGTGGCCACCTCCAGGGGAAAGAGCAGGGGGTCTCCGTACCACTGTGCTACAAAGGCCAGGCCCCACGTCAGTCAGGTAAAGGACACGGTCGGGGACCTGGAACCTGCCACTCCCTCCATCCTGCACTCCTGGGGTGTGCATTGCAACAGGTTCAATCCACTGCCCACCCCTGAGCTGCCTGGGCAGCTCTGCCCAGTGCTGCTCTCCTGCTAGAGCAGCTGGCCCGGGGCTGCCCCAGCCCCAGGGTGACCTCTGGGCTCGGGCTGCTGCCCCAGCACCTTCCACCTGGCCCAAATGCTGCTACTGGGGCAGCAGCCCCCATGTCTCTGGGATTGGTCCCGGGAGGGTCAGCATCCAGGGCTCACTGGGCTATCTCCTCCCCTGCAAGGAGGCCAGGGTCCCTGCAAAGCCCTTGCCTGGGGTGCGTAGTGCAGGGCTGCTGGCTGCTGCCAGCTCCTGGCTCATCTCCTGAGCAGATATTGTGCTGAGTAGAGCTAGGCACGACCCCGTGCGTGGCACAAGCACCCCCTGCTCTGTCTCACTACTCATCCTCCATGGGCCCCAAGCACCCCAGCACAGGCCTACAGCTTCAACCCAGCTGGAACCAACACAAACTGGGGCTGCACCACGGACAGACCCACGGGACTGCACCTCTAGGCCCCCCTCTTCAGGCCAGGAAGGGGCCAGGCTCAGGCAGAGGGGCACGGGGCAGGGCAGACCCTCTCACTCCTGTAGCCTCCCTGTTCCATTCACCAGAGCTGCTCACACACTCCGAAGGTATTGCCTGTCCTGCAGCCTGAAGAGGTATTTGGGAGCAGAGCTGTTAGTGCTTTGTACATACTGCTAGAGTGTCCCTAGGGGTTTGCATAGTATTTATCGGTTCATATACACAAGGCTGATTGCTGTACAGTTCACACTTTCAACACAAGTAACGAGCTCAGTGCTCAGCCCAGAGCCTTGCCCTGGCGGGAGAGGTTGCACGTGCTGGGGAGAGGAAGGGCAGCCCTGCATTGTCCCTCTGCCCAGGGCAGCTGTGCTCCCTGCAGCCTCCCCTCACCCCTCCCCAAAACCCAGCACTCACTGGGAGGGACGAGAAGCAAGTCCAGCAGAGGCACTGGGGGGGCCGAGCACCTCTCCTCCCGTGGTGAGCAGTGCCATGCTGCCCCAGCTTCCCTCCTGCAGCCGGAGCACGGGCGTGGGGATGCATCTACACACGCAATCACACGAGGGTGGAATTTCCTTCCCTCTCGCTGTCTTCTAGTCCAGCTCTTGCCTCGCAGAGGCGCTGAGAGGATGCCCCTGGCGCGTGCTGCTGTCCCTGGGCTCCTGGCAGCAGCGGGGCAGGGACGGAGGCCCCTCCGTCAGTTTGAAGAACTGTAGCTCATGCGTCTTGCAGTCAGTCAGTCATGCGGATAGGACGGTAAGTATGTCTCATACAGAAATCATGCCATTAGCCTATAGAAACATGTACAGCCAGCCCTGCTCCCCTCCACTCTCTGCTCTCCTCTCCTCTCTTCTCAGGTATGTGTCAGAACGTGTGTGGAGTTCAGTGGTTTGGTGTTGAGGTGCGATCCTGGAGAAACACGTACAGAGAGATGGGGTTACCAGGCATCCGTGGCACAGCCAGGAGAAAGGGTGGGGGCAGCCAGGCACATGGCACCCTGGCACCCCTTCTGCACCCTGTGCTCAGCCCACATGCACCCATTCTGCCCAGCAACCACAAGACAAGTTTCGGGGAGTGTCAGAGAAACAGTGACAGAGCACCCATAAGTGTCCTGCACGGAACCAGGAGCAGTGACACACATGGCACTGCAGAGAACAGCAAGCAGGGGCTGAGCAGCACCAACAGCAACATGGCACTGGGAAGGAGCTGGGAGGGCTGCTCTAGGCTCTGGGACGGAGCCCCCAGCCTCAGCAGGGTGGCTGATTGCACCTCCCTCTCCCAGCAGTGAGGAAGACCCCACACAACCCCCATGCATGCCCTGGGCTACCTTCCACACACGACAGAAAACAGCAAAAGCAAAGCAGCAGGAGCAGTGCCCCAGAGAGAGACAGAGCCAGGGACTGTCTGGGGAGTGAGGCACTCAGAGGAGATGGGGATGGGGTCTGCATGAACATGTGCTCACAGGGGGGACAGCCATGCATGGACAGCAGGGGACCAACTGTCCCTCCCATGCCCAGGCAGTGCTGGGCAGCTGGGGAGCACTCGTGCAACACCTTCCCCCAGTGCTGCACTGATGGCCAGAAGCGAGTGTGCCAAGGACAGTGATGCAGCTGGGCCCAAGTGTGCTGTGCCAAGCACCCTGCCTCAGCCTGCTCTAGACCCACCCCACGAGGAAGGCAGGGGGACCAGCAATGCACAAAACTCAAGGGATAATTCTGAACTCACGCTGTGGATCAGTGGAAGAAACGTCCTAGGCCAAAGGCAGGTGCTCTGTCCCAGCCCCTGCAAGGGTCATGTCCCTGCACCTGCCACTCCTGCATCCCTACTGCCTGATGTCCACCCTGCCATGGCCTGTACCTCCATCCTGGCCTCACTGCCCCTCACTGCCACCCTCTCCCTGGCTGGCAGCACATGCTGCATCTCCCTGGCCCCACAGAACTGGGACACCCCTCATCTGACCCACAGCTCTGCCAGTGCCTGGCTGCACCCCTCGGGAAGGGGGTGCCGTGGGGTGCTGTGCACACAGCTGGTCAGGGCATCGGGGCACTCTGTGCCCTCACACCCAGTAGCAGGGGCACACTGCTGCCCACCCTCAGCACTTTGCTGCAGCACAGCCACCCCTCTCTGCAGGCCAAGAGCTGGGCACAGCCACATTACACTCTCCCTGGGAGAATGTGCACGACCAGCAGCTCAGTGCAGGCAGCAGCACGGGCAGAAGGAAGAGCAAAGGTGGGGTTACCTCAAAAGAGGCCATTTGAGGGGTCACTGCTTCCCCCTCTTCAGGCTGGCTCGTTTCACTATCTGAGCCCCCATCCTGCCCCCGGAGACCTCTGGTTTCGGGACACGCACTCGCACCTCCTCCTGAGGAAGCCGCAGGGCAGGAAGCAGGACACCACCCAGGTGAAGACAGACACACAGAAGAGGACAGGAGAGGGAAAGGCAGAGTCAGTTGGCAGAAGACACCGAGCAAGAAGACGGGGGCAGTGGGCAAGATTTGCCCCTGGAATTTTTAGAGGGAATACAGGAGAGGAGAGCAGGGCAGAAGAAAGGACAGAGGGTGGCACAATCCCAAAGCCTGAGAGTACTGCAGAGGTGGTGCTGGCCCAGGCAGGCTGCCTGCAAGGCAGGGCTAAGAGCCACACTGTACCTTGGCCCCCAGACCATCCCGGTGCAAGAAGGAGTATTTCATGAAGTGATCATCCTCAGCCTCCAGGTCTTGGGGCTCCTGCAGGGAGCCCTCCAGAATCAGCTCCTCCTGTTCCTGCCTGTCACCCATGTCACCGGGGCCCAGCTGACGCACCACCTTCCGGATAATCTGTGGAGACCCACACAGCCGGTGTCACAGCTAGCTCCAGGACACCATGCCTCCCTCCTCACCCAGTCTGGCCCTAAACTGCACGGGGCAGCCTCCATCCCAGGAGCCGAAGTGCCATAACCGAAGAGAGCAGGACACGAGTGCCCTGCATGGACCCCTGTGCTACAGGGAGGAACAGGGAATGGGTGGAGGGGAGAGAAGAAAGGCTTCTGTGTGCCCTTGTCCATATCTTGCCCCTGATCACTCACCTTCTTGGTGATGATATTGCCTTGATCGTCTGTGAACTGCTCCTCAGTCACCTGCTCTCCAGGGAGATGAAGGACTTCGTTCCCCTGCAGCAACAGGAGGGAGATCAGGGCATTTGAGACGGGTGAGGGGAGTCCCTTTTCAGGTAGAACAGTACGCCTGACAAGCACGACACAGCCTCCGGCTCCAACCCTGCCCTGCCCCGTCACTGCTTTCCTCCGCATCTGCCCCGGGATGTCTCTCGCTCCCTGCTCGTTACCTTCACGAGGACGCGCCGGCGGACGACTCTGGCGGAGAGAGCCTCCTCATCATCCGCCAGCCCCGGGCTCTCCCCGAGCTCCTTGTCCAGCTCCCGGTGGGCGTGTTTGAGCAGGAAGCGGACAGAGCCCCTGACGATGTGCATGACGTTCTGGCAGCTGACCAGGAAGAACGCCAGCAGCACCAGCGCGATCAGCAGCTGGGCCAGGAGAGCCCACATCGTGCCCCAGCGGGTCCGTGCCCGCTGTCAGAGCGCAGCCATGCCCCGGGCTGGGGCCGCGCTGCGGGTCTGCCCGCCGGAGCCCCCCCGGCTCTGTAACCAGAGCTGGCACAGCCCAGCTGGCTGGGGGCGGCGAGAAGGGAGCGGGCAGCTGCGCTGTCCTTTGCGCTCGCAGCTCCTCTCAAAGTCATGGGGCCAGCACTGCCCCAGCCAGGCACTAATAACCGGGACAGCTCTGTCCCTCTTCTCCGTCAGCTTGCCAACAGCCTGTCCTCCCGCCTGCGGTGAGAGAGCAGCGTGCAGTGCCTCTGCCACGGGACAAACGAAGGCCTGGGCAGGAGCCAGGGCTTTGGGATGTCATTGGAATCACCCGTGACTCAGGAGACGCCCTCGGCAGAGCTGAGCAGCCACCTCCAAGCGTGACCGTGCTGCCGGGATGGCTCTGCGTGCCCTGGCTGGGGAAAGGGGCTTGCCCTCGCCTTGTACCTGCTGGCTCCGTGTGACCGTGCCATCGTGCCCACCACCCAAGCCTGGCCCCCAGACCAGCTCTATTTCTGGCTCCATCAGGCTGTTGGGCCAGCAGCCAGGGCAGATACTCAATAAGGAAGAAGTCAGAGAGGGTGACTGGGTTATAAACGGAGAGCAAGGGCTCAGGTATCAAGCACAGCAGGCTATTCTGGGCTGAGAGGCACCGCTAGGGGCAGGAGGTGTGCCAGGAGATTTGCAGAGCTAGCACCCGGTGTGCCTGACTGTCCTGGCAGCAGGCTCCAGAAAAGGCTGTCCGTAGGGTCTCCACCTTCTGCAGGCCCAAGGCCCCTGCTCTTACCCTCACCTGCCCAAAGAAGCGGCTGTGGGCCTCCTCCTGCCAGCCGCCCGTGGGGTGCTGAGGCTGCCAGTCGCTGTCCTCTGCAGAGCTGATCCGCATCAGCTCCACGGCCGGCACCAGGACCTGCCCTTGCTCCTGGCCCTGTGCCTCGGGGGCCGTGGTGTGCGTTGGGAGCAGCCTTCGGGTGACCCCCTCCTGCCAGGAGCCCGCTGTCAGGTCCTGTAGGCAGGAGATAAAGGAGCCTTCTGCATTCCAGTCCCTCAGCCTGGGCACCGGAGAGGGACAGGGAGAGAGAGACAGAGAGAGAGAGGCAGTCAGCTTTGCCGTGGAGTGCTGCCCCCCGAGCACAGCCGAGCTCCGCAGGCACACCGGCGCAGCCCGCACCCCGCCGGGCGCTGGCTCCCCGGCTCACGCTGCTGCCAGGCTCCCAGCAGAAGCAGCACAGAGTACAGATGCACAAAGGGCACAGACAGCCTCCCTGCCATGCTCCCTGCCCACCCTACAGCCTCACAGGGTCTAAGGCGACGCTGTGGAGCATCACTGGGTGCTGCCAGGGACCTCATGGGTCCAGTGCCACTGGGAACATGGGAGGAGGCAGCCCAGGTGGGGATGGCTCTGGTAAGCACAACCTACATGCAGGGCCTGGCTGTCTGCCTGGGCTCCCTGTGCCAGGTGCTCTGCAAGGAGCCCCCCGGAGCATCGCCAGAGGGCCACGAGGCACTCGGCCCAACCATGCTCCGTGTGCCTGGGCTCCAGAGATGGAGACCAGCAGAGACGCAAGCAAAGCTGGCAGATTATTGCAGCTGGCCCAGCACAGGGCAGTAGCTGGCGAAAGCAGTTCTGCTCCCCTCCCGTGGTCACCCTGGCGCTCAGGCTGCAGTACCTCTCTGCACTCTTCTCCACAGCGTGGCTAATAGTAGGTGATGTCGTGATCCTGGCTTGCACCTTCTGCTGAACTGAAACAAAAGAGACTTCACTCTCCGGGTCCTGCTCCCCAGTCCCTGGCTGATGATCACCGGCTGGCATCTTCCCCTCTGGCCTCTGCCCTTCCTCCTGCTCTAGAAGGTCAATCAGGCCATTCATGGCATCTGAGTCCACTGTGTCATCCTCAACCAGGTCCATAGAGCCCATGTGGTCTGGGCCATGCACATCTGCTAGAAGCTGCCCTGTGAACCGGCCTTCGCTTGTGGCGTCCGAGTCCTCGGCCTTGCTGCACTCCAGAGAGGAGTCCTCAGCCGTCACCAGAGAGGGGGTGAGCCCCGAGGACCACACCTGCATGTCGGACATCTCCATCAGGGCGTCCTGCTCAGTGGCAGCCATGGGGATAGCATCCATGATGGCCACCTCATTCCAGTACTGGTCGGCACGCAGCGGGGATGGCAGTGTGTAATGCAGGGAGGCGGGGGACAGCAGCTCGTCCTGCAGCGAAGCGTAACCTATATGGGCAGACAGAGGCAACGTCTCCAGCAGCCGTCTCACGCACGCACAAGCACAGTGGGCAAGGGGGAAATGGGAAACAGCCTCGGGGAGGATGCCTGCCCCAAGGACAGCGATGGTCATGCCACAGCCCCCCGTGCTGCTCACAGCAGCAGCTGCTTTCACATGGTCCCTGCAAGTGCTGCCATGCCTCCCTTCGAGTGCTGGGGCTGGTCTGGGCAGGCTCTGGGGCTGCCTGCTCCCATGAGGAGGACTGGCCTGGTGTTCACACTGCAGGATGCAGTGCCCTCTTTGCTACCCTGCTCCATCAGACCCCAGGTCTCTGCCCACAGCCCCCATCCAGCACCAGCTGGCTGGCAGTTAGCCTGGAGTTCAGGTGGCCAAGCCTGGCAGACACTGACTCCCAAAGCCAAACACTCTCCACATCACAGAGGAGCAGGTTGAAAGTACCGTGAGCAGGGAAGGATGGTGCCGGTAAATGTCATGCAGCCCCAAGGCCCTGCAGGAGGCAGCCAGGGCCTTACAACCCTGTTGGTCTCCCCAGGGCTACAAGCAGTTGTTATGTCCTCGTCACTCGGGGCCATGTGCACAGCTCAGGCACATCCATAGGGACTACAACCAAGCCAGGCAGTCCGAGCCATGCAGGTGGCTTTGCTCAGCTTTTTTCAGTTCTGAGCCATCAATTCTTTCCCCCCCAACCCCCGGAGATCGGCAGCAAACCCATTCCGTTCCCCAGGCAGCCAGGGAATGCCAGCCACAGCCAGGGCACAGGGTACAGCTGGGACCTCCAGCACAGAAAGGGCACCTCACCCCTGTGCAGGCACCTGGCCAGGGACATGCAGTGCAGGGCCAGCGGGGGGAGGAGAGCAGCCCGTGCAGGAGGAGGAGGCCTGGGATGGCTGCCTGCAAGCACGACACCCCCCAGGATGGGCAGTCCCTGGTGACATGCAGTCGCCGGAGCAGGACGCGGCTCCCGGAGGGCTCAGCTGAGGTGGAGACAGTGGAGACAGGCAGTGGAGGAAGATGAGAGAAGGAGAGGCCAGGATGAGCTCAGAGGAGAAAGGTGACAAGAAGTGACCCACAGGAGTGCCCGCACCTGGCAGCACTAGGTGGCATGTTTGAGAGAGCAGAACAAGGGGAGAGACAGAGAGGGAGAGAGCGATGAGCCAGCGCTGCAGGGGCAGAGCCACAGTGCAGGGCTGCAGCAGCACAAAGCCCTGCCCCTGTCCAGTGTGCCTGCTCCCTGGCAGCACATGCTGCAGCTGAGCCAGGCTGTGTCCCCACACCCAGGCACGCTCTGCCTGGGGCCCAGCCCGGACACACCAAAGCCACACAGCCAGGACTCCACGAGCTCCCTGGCTACTGCTCAGCTTGCACAGCCAGAGGCACCTCTCCCTGGCACACTGGGATAAGGAACACGTGTCAACCCCACCTGGAGAGTTTCTGAGAAGGTAGCACGACAGGGCCAAGTTTCCTGCAGCGTAAGCCCCACTGAAGAGGCCACGTCTGTCAGCAACACCTTGTGCCCACTGAGTTCTCAGCAGGTGCAACCTGGTCAGGCAAGACACCAGCCCCGATCTCTCTCTGCACAGACCGTGACCCCATGGCCCTCCTGCAGTCCCCACCAGGAGCTGGGGCTCACCATTCATCTGGGATGGCGAGAGGGAGTATTCTCTGTCCGTGTAGCGCCAGCTGCCCTTCAGGCTGCGGCTCTGCCGGCCAGAGCCCTCCAGCGTGTTGACGATCTCGCCGCGGTCGATGTTCCTCAGTGCCGTGTACAGATTCTCAACTGCAGGGGGAAACCGGTGTCAACAACCTGGTCACCTGGGGAGCACAGCCGTGCCCCAGACGCCCTCCAGATGGGCAGGTATGCACGAGCCAGTGCTGCCACCTCTGTGCCTGTAACAGAGCACCTGCCCCTAACAGGGCACCACAACCACTCACTCTTGACGTTCTTGCCCTCGCGGCTGACCCAGAGGTTGAGTAAGGCTATGCTCTGCTCCAGAAGGGAGTTGGGGTTCTCCACACGTATCCTGTTGATGTCGTCCACTCCGAACTGCAGCTCGCGTGCCAGCTCTGGGGGAAACACCACATCTCAGTATCACATCACATCTCAGTATCACACCCTCTGGTGCCCCCCACCAGGCTAGGGACACTGTGAAGGGCTCAGCCAGGCCCGGTGCAGAGACTCTCTGTTACACACAGCTGAATACAGAACATGCAGGAGCTGGGATGGGGCAGAGGCTGAAGCCCCCCTGCCCAGGCTGGTTGTGACCAGCCCAGCAGGGTCTCAGGACAGGGATAAGTGTGGGCACTGCCAGTTGGGTGTGTGGCTGCAGTGACAGTGCTGGGTCTCCATGAACAGCAGCAGCACACGCAGCTCGTGACAAAGCACAGGCCTGGCACCCGTGTGTGTGACACACGCAGGAAAGTTCACTCCAGTGCCCTGGAACACTCTCAGCGTGGGCCCAGGGCAAAGCACAGTCACTCCACCCAACACCTTGCTTCCAGCTTCCCTAAGTGTGTCAGCTTCCCAAGGAGTGCTGAGCATCCTCGGATCTGTCAGGGTGGACTCACCAGCCCAGCTGAGGCCCAGCTGTTCTGCTATGTCAACCATCTTCTGGTCTGCCTTGTCCGTGCTGCTCAGAGAGCCTGGAGAAGAAGAGGGAGTCACAGCTTCAGCTGCACAGAACGGTGAGGGCAGTGGGGTGCTGGCCATCGGGGTCTCGCAGCCCCACAGGCACAGCACTGCCCTGCAGGCAGGACCAAGGAAACCCGCAGGGAAAGGGGAGCTGCCATGAGTGTGAGTACAGTGGGGTCAGCTCAGCCTCTCCACTGCCTTGGGCACCCCAGGCACAGGTGGTGATGGGCTCGAGCGTCCCAGCTGGCTGCATACCAAAACTGGTCTCACTGAGGATGCTGTACCGCTCCCGCAGAGACAGCGGCGTCAGGGTCCTCCTCCGCTCCTCGCTGCCGCTTCCCTGTGAGAGTGGGGACAAGCCAAGGGCTCAACAGCTTGTAAAGGGGGCAACAGCTCTGCCCTGGCACCACTGCTTCTCCCCCAGCCACAGAGGGGCATGGCATGGCCGTGTGGAGAAGCTGAGGAAGCAAAGCTGGCAGCAAGGGCTGTCTCCTGCCCTCGCTGCCCCCTCCCAGAGTGCCAGACACTGACCTTGGTGCAGGGGGGTATGCTGATGTTCAGGTGGCAGAGCACATGCTGGAGGTCCTCATATTTCATGGCCTTGCGCAAGAAGGACAGGGAGCCGCTGGCTTCCCGGCTGCTGTCCCGGACCTGAGTGCCAAGAGCCCAGTTAGCCAGCCTGGCACAAGCCAAGGGCCCCAACTGCTGCCCAGTCCTGCACCCTGACATTACCTTGATGGGGATGGCAAGACGATTCTCCCGGAAGGACTGGAAGAGGAAGGTGCGGGGCTGAGTGGCCTTCTTGACAGGCACCAGGTTCCCTGAGAGTTCAACGTGCAAAGGCATCCCCTCTACCACCTGGCAGGGAGCAGAAAACAGGCTCAGCCCCTGTGCAAAGCTGCTTCTCCTGCTCCTGGTCAGGGCAGGTAACCTCGACTCTCCTACTCGAGCCAGGGCCAGGCCCCTCCACTGGCATCAGTCTCCCCTCACTTTGTCAGCCCTCTCTCTCCCTGCTGCCCTCCACGCGTGTGCTGGGGACAAACCTCAATGTCCCTGCTGCGGGCCACCTCAGTGAAGTTCTCGTGCTGCTCTAAGGTCTTGTCAACCTTGTCATCAGTCATGCAGTAGCAGCGCAGCCGGCCTTCCCGTGCATCGTTCATCTTGGCAAACACCACGAATTTGGCCATGTAGGGCACAGCTGTCAGCTCCTTGTACAGCATGGTGGCGAAGTGCACGGCCTCAGCCGTGCGCGGGCAGTCAGCCAGCCAGAACCTGTGGGAGAGCTGGGTCGGGGTGCTGCTGGGCAGGGGCACCAGTGGCACCAGCGGAGCTGCCCCCATGCCCTCCCCACCAGCAAACTGGACCGCAGAGGGTGCCCCAAGAGCTGGGTGCAGGTGGAGCCCCATCTGGGATGGGGACAAACCCAAATACAAAGAATGGCGCCCTTCCCTCTGCACACCCTGTTGTCATGAGTGCTTCCTGATGCATGGGGGCCTCATGGCTGGAAGCAACTGCCCTGCATGTAGGAATGGGGCAGCACCACAACGAGCACAGGACAAAAGACTTCTCCTGGCAAAGGCCAAGAAGGTCCAAGGAGCACCAGACATCCCCGCACATTCAACCAGGACTCACCTGGCAGACACATTGGTGGTAAAGTTAGCACACTCATTTTCGTAGACCAGCTTCGTGGTGCCTGTTATGTCTTCCCACTGGGCTTGGGCTGTCCCTCCTGCGGCAGAAAGCAAGGGTGAGCACACTGTCCTTCCATAAGCCTGGGGTCTGCATCCCCTAAGCATTTGCTCTCTCCACTGCTGTGCCCTTTCCTCAGCTCCCAGGAGCTGCATCCCCCTGCGGCAGCCCAGCCTGCCCCCGTGGAGAGCACATGCAGAGGGACTGGCAGCCTCACCGATCACACTGCAGAGCAGGCGCAGGCTGGTGGTGTCACCCTCCCCGCTGTCCCTCGGATTGTCCTTCCAGGATGGTGGCAGCGGGATGCGGAGGCCAATGGGTCGGTGGAATTTCCTCCGTCGTGGCTCCACCGTGACAATGGGGCTGAAGGTCGCTTGGTTCCCCAGCAGCTTGGTCACCAGCTCGTCAGGCACGGGCTGTGCCTGGGGGTGGAAAAAGGAGAGGCATCGTGCATGGTTCTTCCCCGGGCTGGGACAGACGCCCACCCCTCCCTGCAGGAGCGTGTCTGGGCCCTGGGCCAGGCCTTCTGGGGCTCACCTGTAGGGCCAGCCTCACTCTCTTAGTGACAGCAGTGTCTGGGAAGGTGGCCTGTACCATGGGCACCAGCGTGCTTTTCAAACACCCTCCCTCAGGGCCGATCATATCACAGTCCTGGCAAATCCGGGACATGACCACAAAGTAGAGAGGGAAGTCGGTGGTGATGATGCGGCAGACTCTCTTCTTATCCAGCTCCTCCTGGCTCTCCAGCTCTGCAAGGGCAGCACAGCTGTCAGTGCTCACACACCAAGCCTGCGGCTGTCACCCAACACCCCTCCCGCTGCACCCACCACAGGGCTCAGCCCCGTCCCACCACCCCGGCCAGCACAGCCCTACCTGCAGGGAGCAGTGCAGGATGGAGCCCCTGCCTGCCCAGCTCACCCTCGTCCATGCCGTTGAGCAGCTGGTCCATGTAGCTCTCCTCGTAGCGGTTGCGGTGCTCCTTCCACACGGAGCCGTTCTCGCTGCGCAGCACCACCAGCTCGCGGTCCCCGCGCCCGTACGAGGCAAAGTGTGGGATCTCCACGATGACGGGGCTGCAGACAGCAGAGAAAGGGCACTGGCACCCACATGCTGCCACCAGGACACGCAGGCAACAAGGTGGGCTGGGGCAGAGTGCCTGCCCACGCCGGGCAGCTGCCGGGGGAAGAAGGCAGAGCTGCTGACCTCCGTCTCTCTGTGCTCACCTGAGGAACTGGGCACCAGCAGGCCCCAGGGCGATGATCCTGCTGGCCAGACCCTCCTCCTCAGCCAGCGGAGGGGGCGCAGGCAGCTTCTGGGGCTTCACCAGGCGGCAGGTAATGCGGGTGGGAGCGGCACAGGCGCGGGGCGGGATGACCACGCGCAGCCCGTGGTGCCGGCTGCCCCGCATGGAGCCCCCACGGGCATCCACCATGAAGCTCACCAGGAACCTGGAGGGGCAGAGGCACGGGCAGTGGGCACCGAGCAGCCAGCACGTGCACAGAGCACGCCCGTGCTGCACGGGCTGGGCACTCACCCCGTGTGCACCGGGCTGGCCACCGGGCTGATGTTATCCGAGGTCTCAGTGGCAGGGCTGCTGGGGATCAGGGAGTCCTCGTCGAACTCCTTGGAGGGCTGTGTAAGGCAGCAAAGAGACCCCATGGGCAAAGAGTCCTATCTGGAGGTGCTGAGCCTGCCCACCCTTACACAGTCTCACAGTGGTCCCTGGACAGTCCTGTACCACTGGGTCAATGCCAACTACCCACATCATGCTTTGGCTTGGTGATGATGGAGCTGCCCCCAGCAGGGAATGCCTGGGGGAGGCTGTGGCAGGCTGTGTCTCATGCTCACCTCCTGTGGGGACACCGAGGGTGCATGCAGCAGGCTGACTTGCTCAGCTTCTGTCTCCACAGGTCCTACCTGCTCAGTCTCCTCTGCTCTGGTCACCACAGTTTCAGGTGGGACACAGGGGACCTGCAGGACAGCTGGAGACTCCACCCTGGTAAGAGAGATCAGTGACAGCCAGTGAAGTGGCAGGCCTGTGTCCCTCAGCCCCCATCCATCCCCACAGAGTCCTGGGGCTGCTGGACAAAGGCAGAGGCAGCAGCAGTCTCATGTCCTGGTGCAGGAACAGCACTGACCAGCTGTGCCTGCCGTGCCAGCTGATGGGGGCTCAGTGATCTGTTCCTTTCCCAGAGCTGTCCCTGCCCCGTGGGCAGCCCAGGCCAGCACAAGGCTGGTTCTGTGCCCTGTACCTGCTCCCTCCCCACCACACAGCTCTCTTACGTTTGCTCCAGTGTCGTCGTGGTCATGAACTCCAGTATCTCCCTCTTGCCTTCCTGGTCCCTGAGATCAGCTGTCCTGGGTTTTGGTGCCATCAGCTCCTCCTCTGAAAGCGAGAGCTGGCTCAGCACGCAGAGGCAGGTGGGCAAGGGAAACACAGACATCCAGCCCTTGCCCCCCTCCCTCCTCACAGCTGGAGGGAGGGCCCATCCCTGCTCCCACTCCTGGACACACACACTTGTCCCCTGGGCCTCAGTCACACACGGAGGGGTTTGCTCTCTGCCAGAGGGGGTCTGCTGGCGAGGCAGGGCCCATGCAGTGGGCCAGTGGCACAGGAGCTGTGGGAGCCATCAGGAGCCTCAGCTGTTCACTGACAGCACCAAACACAGAGCAGAGCCTGCAGGGGACACCCTATCCTTGGATCCCTGGGACAGGGGCGTAGGCAGGGCTGGGGGTGCACCCACACTGGAGGCACAGAGCCCTGGCAGCGCTGCCCGCTGGCCCCACTAACACCTGCTAATGAGCCCACCAGGCTTGGCTCTTGCCAGTGCCCTGTGGGAGAGTGTCCAGCAGCTCCCAAAGCAAAGAGAGTGCCCCAGAGATGGGGAGGGGACCACAGGAGCACAGAGACCTCAAGCTCTCAGGTTAATCCCTGCTCGGGCCAGCATGGCACGGGGTGGCTGTGGAGGGGCACAGAACCAGGTTCCTCTGCCTGCCAGGAGCAGGGCCTGGGGCCAACAGGGACTCAGGGTCCTCCCGAGTGGGAGGATGCCCATTCATGCAGTCACACCACAGCAAGCAGCACGGACATGGATGGGCAGGGCGGGATGGCAGGGCTGGCACGGGGGAGCCCCAGCCCACAGCGAGGCTCAGCAGATGGACATGGCGTGCGGATGGTTAGTGGCCATGGGGTGAAATGGGCCATTGAGCTGGGGCAGGGGACACAGTTCATACCCATTACTGTGACATGAGCAGTGCCTGCAAAGTAAGAAGAGGCAAAGGTGAGGTCTTGGTGGGAGGGTGCAGGAGCAGACCAGCTGCAGCTGGGCTGGGAGCTGGTTCCCCCCCGGCAGAGCAGGGCACAGGGAGTGCTCTGCATGCCCAAGGGCTCTCCACACGCCGTCCCTGGGGCTTGGGATCACAGAGGGGTCCAGGCATATCCCTCCTGCACAGTGCAGGGAAGCACCCGAGTCAGGAGGTGCCACACGAAGAGGCTGGTGGGCTCCCCTCATCCTCCACTGCAGGACCCACAGCTCCCCCACCCCAGCCAGCAGGAACACCAGTGCCATCCCTGTGGCTGCTGCCTGCCACACTGACCCAGCTCCTGCCCCTCACCTTCATCCTCTGATACATCCAGAATCTCATCTACAGTCTCCGGGAAGCTCATGCGGTGCTTGTCACCAACTGGCTGTGGGAGCAGAGCAGAGTCAGAGGAGCCCTTCACTGCACAGCCATCCCAGCTGCTCCCAGCCCCAGCCCTCCTCCCCAGGGTCCTGGTGCCTGTTCCCCGGGGGGCTCACCGGGATATCAGTTTCCTCTGTGACGATCTTGAGCACGTCCGTGACGGAAATGTAACCGAGGCGCTTTGCGATGGCCAGGGGAGTGGTGCCGTTCTGCCAGGGAGCAGAGACTGGGTCAGCAGCAGCCACAGGGGGCCTGGGCAGCTGCCTGGGCTGGTCCCAGGGTGAGGAGGTGAGGGTGATCAGTACTCACCGTGCTGATCTCATTGGGAGAGGCCCCGTGCTTCAGCAGCAGCGTCACCACGTCCGTGTGGCCCTGCTGCGCTGCTTGGTGCAGGGGGGTGTAGCCCAGCTGCAGGGGAGGATAGAGGGTGCTGCCATCAGTTCTGGGAGCCTGCTGCCCCAGAAATGCCCCCAGAGCATGAGGGCAGCTCTCTTCTCCATCAGCCTGCATGCTGTTGCCCAGGGCAGACGGGTCCTTGGAGCACAGGATAACTTTGTACCTTAGTCTTGGCATTGACATCGGCTTGGTGCTGCAGCAAGAACTTCACCAGCTTGATGTTTCCATAGTGGCTGGCCACATGCAGGGGGGTATAGCCCATCTGAAAGACGAGATGAGGTCTCAGTCTCTCCTCAGCGGTGCTTTCTGCCCTTCTGGTTTGGATATGCTCATCCCACAGGCAAGCCCCCACGCACGAGGGATGAGGCACATGTGTGGGTGTTTCCCCAGGAGCCCAGGACCAGGGCAGAGGGCTCACTGCAGACTGTGCTGTACCCAGGGGTGTAGGGGTGAGCTATGGGAGCAGTTAAGAATCATCCCTCCAGTGAGGTGGGAGGTGGAGGAGGAAGAGTCCCCAGGACACTGGCAAAATGGTAAGAATGCCTGTGAGAGGGGAGTCTCTTGCACAAAGCAAGACAAGAGCAATGCTCCTCCTGGAGCAGGCCTAGAGGCAGTTCCCTCATGTTTTTCACCACAGCCACGGTCAGTGCGCTACTTTACCCTGGTCGTTGCATCCACTGTCACTCCATGTTTCACCAGAACATCAGCAACCAGCACATGCCCCTCTTGGGCCACAAGATGGAGAGGAGTCAGGCCACTCTGCAGAGAGAGGAGGTCTCAGCACAGTGGCAGTGCCACCACTGCAGCTCCACCAGCAGAGGCTCTGCCAGGTCTCCAGCCTGGCAAACTGACTGGCACTGTGCTGCTGGCCATGGCACTGCTCCCCGAGCACAGGGAGGCACAGGGGCCTGGCCAGCAGCGACTCTGCTGATCTCTGCCAGCTTGTTCACCCCCAGCCTGGCAGCACGTGCTGGGACAACTTACCTTGTTGCCGAGGTCACCGTTGGCTTGCTTGGAGAAAAGCAGGGCCACCATGTCTGCGTGCCCCTCCTGGGCAGCCAGGTGCAGGGGGGTGACTCCCTGCACAGACTCGGCGTTTGCAGAGGCCCCGTACTGCAGCAGGCTGCTGGCCACCTCCAGCTGGTTCTGCTTGGCAGCGATGTGCAGGGGGGTGTACCCGTTCTGAGGGGAGAGAGGCTCCTTGCAGTGCTCAGCCTCGCCGAGCAGACCAGCAGGGACAGGAGGTGCCACCCCGCCCCTGCAGGCCAGGTCTGCCCTTCCCAGTTGCCCCTGAAGCTCAGGGATGCTCCCAGACCATCTTCCTGACAGCTACTAGCCCTGACACTGAGGCCAAATCCCACTCTTCCAGCCAAGACAGCATGGGGGTTTCAAAGACCACCTGCTTCCCGTTCAGCTGCTGTGGGCTGTCCTGGAGTTTTCCACACATGAATTTCTGCAGCAGCCTCGGGGAGCTCGGAGAGGCCAGGGCAGACAGACACCTCCTGGAACGTGCCTGGCTAAGGAGCTGAGCTGAACTCCCAACGCACAGCATTAGTATTCAGGCAGGGACCGCAGGGCCCTGAGTGCTGCCCCTGCTGCCACGCTGCAGGAGCAGAGCAGCTGGCAGACACCCGCTGCCCAGGGTGACGCGCGGGCTGTCGGTGACGCAGACCGACGGGGGCTGGCACCGGTACCGGCTGCTCCCGGTGCCTGCCCAGCACGTCTGCCGGCAGCCTGCGCAGGGGAGAGGAGAGTGCCAGATGGGCAGGGCTGGCACCAGCAGCCACTTGGCTGTTTTCAGGATGCAGCTTCTGCAAACAACACAGAAAGCGAGGCGACTGCTGGTCTGCTCTGTGGGGAGATGCTCCCCACGCTCAGGTGGAAAGGGGCGACTCTCACAAGCTCGTGGGTTTTCTGACTCACTGCTTCATAGCTGCATGAAAACATTCGTGTGTGGTTTCCCAAACTGCCAGCACGCAGTGCTGCTCTGCAGGACTTGCCATGGAAACACGTTCCCCACACAGCAGCCACCATGCTGCCAGCAGGGACCATCCCTGACACGGCCTACCTGCTGGAACGGGACCATTGCCTGGCACCCCGCCTGCCCCACGTGTGGCGCGAGGACAGGCAGGCATGAGCAGCAGGTGTGGAGAGAGGCTGGTGGGGATTGGTCCCTCGTACATTCCCTGAGTGTCAGGATTGAGGGGCAGTGCCAGCCACAGGCTGGCAGGCACTGATCACACAACACCTCCCCACGTCCCCGGGGACACCCGGCCCAGACTCACCCAGGCTGAGTTGTGTGGGGAGCTCCCCTTGGGAAGCAGGAGTTTGACAATCTCCAGGTTGTTGTGGTGCACAGCCACATGCAGCGGGGTCAGGCCATTCTGCAGAGGAGGAGAGGGTACAGACAGGTGAGACAGATCCTCTCCCCAAGCTGTACCACTCCTCCCACAACTCCAGAAGCAGCACTCACCTTCCCTGCTGCATTGGGGTGAGCATCATGTGCCAGCAGCAATTCTGCCACATCCACCTTCCCATACTTGGCTGCAACGTGGAGAGGGGTAAATCCTTTCTGAGGAGAAAGGCAGCCCATCACAGGGTGGCAGAGATGAGGAGAGTGCTAGCGCACGCTGTGCCACAGGAGGAGGCTGCCCCTCCTGCAACAGGGACACTGTGCCACCAGCCTGCCCAGCCTTGGCCCAGCTGGGTGACACCTTCCACAGCCGTGCACACCTACCTTGGTCATGCAGGTCTGCAAGGCCCCCTTCTCCAGCAGGGCCAGGGCCGTGTCCATGTGCCCCTCTCTGGCAGTGATGTGCAGGGGCGTGTGCCCTGCCGTGGTGGCCAGGTTGGGGTTGGCGTTGTTGTCCAGCAGCAGTTTGACCATGCCGGTGTGGCCGATACGGGCAGCACAGTGCAGGGGAGTCTGGTCATCCTGCCAGGGAGGCAACGGAGCTGTTTGGGCAGCCCTGGAGCAGTCCCTTCCTGCCATGCCAAAGGGGTCCCAGCCCTGCTCCCACTGTTGCACAGCCCCTGGCAGGCTGGACTCCGGGCACGTGAGAGCAAAGAAACCAGCACTGGCTGTTCCCAGAGCTGAGTGTCACACGGGCTCTCTGGACCTACCTTGGCCTTGGCATTGGCCTTGGCTTTGTTCTGCAGCAGGTACTTTGCCACATCCGTGTGCCCAGCTCTGGCTGCCATGTGTAGGGGTGTCTCCACTTTCTGTACCAAGGACAGGACAAAGTGGTGAGGCCGAAGGAGGGGTGTGCCTTCCTGCACTCATTCCTCTGCTCTGAGCAGAGGAGAGCAGTGCCTGCAACCTTATCTGGCCCATACTAGTTCCTCCTGCCAGGACAAAGAGGGCAGCAGGGACTGCTCAGGGGAAAAGAGGGTGCAGAACTTGAGCAATTCTCACATCCTGCTGTCCCCCAACATTCTGAGCTCCCAAAGCCCCAGCCAGGGTGGGCACTCACCACGTTGGACACGTTAGGAGAGGCTCCACGCTGCAGCAGGGTCTTGACGATGGGCAGGTGCCCCATGAAGGCAGCCACATGCAGGGGGGTCAGGCCAGACTGTGAAGAGAAAGGGGTCAGGAGCCAAGATGGGACTGATGGCCTTGTCAACATCTGTTCCTGCCCCTTCCTCCCTCTCCCAGGGCACGTTCCAGCACAGAGGCAAAATCTCCCCTGCAAACCCCTGCCCTGCAGGGAGATGCTGCCAGCTCAGCAGGTCCTGAGCTGCAAAGAGCTCCCAGAGAGGTTCCTGGGCACCGGCAGAGGCAACAGGGCCATCTCGTCCTGCCTGCCCTGTACAGGCAGCAGCAGCAGAGCTGGGGCTGGGCTCACACCCACCTCTGTGACGGCGTCAATGGAGGCCCCTGTCTTCAGCAGCAGCTCCATCACGCGGATGTGGTTCTTCTTGCAGGCGATGTGGAGGGGCGTGAAGCCGTTCTGCAGACAGACAGACGGACAGGCAGACCGTCAGCCACTCGCAGGAACACCCCCTGTCCCCCCTGGCCCAGCCCCGCCTGCCCCTCCTCGCTCACCAGGGCTCTGGAGTTGGGCTTGGCGCCCTTCTCCACCAGCAGCTTGGCCACGCGGTGGTGGCCGCAGTGCGCGGCCACGTGCAGCGGCGTCAGGTGGTCCAGGGTGATGTCGTCGATGTCGGCGCTGTACTGCAGCAGCAGGCGCACGCAGTCCAGGTGGTCGCCCTGCGCTGCCATGTGGATGGGCGACAGGCCGTTCTGCGGGGGAGCGGGGCCTCAGGGCTGGGCCTGGGGGGCACCAGACATCCCACCCGCGTCCCACCTGCATCCCACCCATGTCCCACCCACATCCTACCCCCATCCCACCCACGTCCCACCCACATCCCACCAAAACATCCCACCCACATCCCACCCGCATCCCA